AAGGTTTGGCATCCGAATATCAGCAGTCAGACGGTAGGTCAACTTCCTTCAAAATGAGTACAAGACGTGGAGCACAAGAACAATCGACTTGGTGGACAAGAGGCGAATTACGACAAAGGATTCAAGATGCTAACTCAACTTTTAGGGGGCTATCTGCCTTGACACCCTCAGCTCCAACTGGTCTCCCGTCCAAACCATCAAGACTGCCCTTCTCTCCCTTCGAATGCTCCTCGAATGCCCAAATCCCAAGGACCCGCAAGACGCCGAGGTTGCAAAGATGATGATAGAAGATCCCAAGCGCTTCGCTCTCATGGCTCACGAATGGGCTGTCAAGTATGCCGGTGCTCCACGACAAGACGTTGATGTCACCAAATACCAAAATGACGTTCCAGCTGCTCCAGTCAAGGACGACGTTGCTCGGTAGGTCAAACATGGAGACGACAAGAATATAGGTAGCTAACAAGAGGTAGACTTAACGGATACAACAGAAACCTTGTTGAACGGTTCGTGAACATGGGATTCGCATTGGATGACGTTGTCGAGGCCTTTGTTCACTTCGGCATAGATCGCAACGGAGGCCGAGACTACGTGCTGGAAGAGGCTTACATGGGGGACGTCGTTTCTAGATTGCTACATGAGAACTAATGTGAACTCTGGGGGACCAAGAGAAGGAATGACGATCTGAAACACAATTTCTTTAAGCATGGTATGGGGAGTTTCCGACGGTTCTTTTTAACAACTTAGACTGGGTACGAGGTGCATTAGCTGCACTTCATATGGTTCGGAGGTTACGGTAAATGACACAAGATAGGTGGTACTTAACGGTAATATGAAGAAATTCCTCATATGTTTGCATGGCTACATAATTTCTCATACAATCGTGTCGTCACAAGTTCTTAGGGACTACAAGGCCGACCTCCACTGGTGTCTTGGCTTATATAGGTAGATTTGGATATTTCTTTCGGTCAACTCATCAAGGTCCACTGCTTTTCTCTTACACCATTCACTTCAAAATTATATACTAAGAATCTCTTTTATACAGCCCTCAGGATCCTTTCTTGATTTCTTGTCTCTCTGCATCCGTATTTGACAAACCATTGAGATTTGAGACATACAATTAGCTTCCAATTATTTTCGTCAACGATAGCCAAATGTCTATGAGATGCTGGCATCGACCCCAACCAGACGAAGTACATGGCAAGAAGTAATTTAGGCTAAATTTAGGGCTTTAGTTCTTATAAGTTCAGATAAGTTCAGATAAATTTTGTCTATCGACTCCGACATCTGCTGTTGTTTGAAGCTATTGAGGCTTCACCTGACTCAGCTAAGAGCAGCACGTGACTAGGCTGGAGCTGCTGTCGTGTTTCCCTGGCGCCTGGCGGTCGCTTTCATCATCACTAAGCTCGGGAGCCTCGACCTCTCTCCTCCACATCAAATCACATCCACCATCACGACTCACCTCATTGAAACCACTGCCACGCCAAACAAACGATATCACATAATCGATAGCTCCCAGAGCTGATCCTGACAAAATGGTAAACACTTCTGTCATACTGCAGCTCAACAGCTATTGACGTTATCTAGGGTCAAGGTCAATCCGGCATGGGAGAAGGGGGACGCGATGAGAAGGACAAGAAGGCAAGAAACCCGTCCATGACTTCTATTCCCATTCTAACAGCTCAATAGAAGGATAAGCCCAAGTACGAGCCCCCGCCTCGACCTACCACACGAGTCGGTCGCAAGAAGAGAAAGGCTGGTGGCACCAGCGCCGCTCAGAAACTTCCCGCCGTCTACCCTACCAGCCGATGCAAGCTCCGACTTTTGCGAATGCAGCGAATCCACGATCATCTATTGCTCGAGGAGGAGTATGTCGAAAACCAGGAACGCCTACGCAAGGCCAAGGCAGCCAAGGAGGGACAATCCGCTGGCACTGATGCCGATGTCGATCGATTAGCAGACGAGCGTGGCCGTGTCGATGACATGCGAGGAAGCCCCATGGGTGTTGGAACTCTAGAGGAGTTGATCGACGATGATCATGCGATCGTCAGCAGTACTACTGGTCCCGAGTACTACGTTAGCATCATGAGCTTCGTCGACAAGGACTTGTTGGAACCTGGCGCTAGTGTTCTTCTGCATCACAAGAGCGTCAGTATTGTTGGCGTGCTGACAGATGATGCCGATCCTATCGTCAGTGTCATGAAGCTCGACAAAGCTCCTACCGAGTCATACGCCGATATTGGTGGTCTAGAGCAGCAAATTCAGGAAGTCAGAGAATCAGTAGAGTTGCCACTGCTCCATCCGGAGCTTTACGAAGAGATGGGTATCAAGCCTCCCAAGGGTGTCATTCTCTACGGTGCTCCCGGTACTGGAAAAACATTGCTAGCCAAGGCCGTCGCCAACCAGACATCTGCCACTTTCCTACGTATCGTGGGTAGTGAGCTTATTCAGAAGTATCTTGGTGACGGCCCCCGACTTGTGCGACAGCTTTTCCAGGTATGTGATCTCTTTGGTGTGTTTGACTGTTACTAACATTGTCAGGTTGCCGGTGAGAACGCTCCTTCTATCGTCTTTATCGACGAAATCGATGCCATTGGTACGAAGCGTTACGATTCCACATCGGGTGGTGAGCGTGAAGTTCAGCGAACTATGCTGGAGC